TACATATATATTTATATATAATTATTTATGATTCAGTTTATGATTCAGTTTATTTATATAGAGCCCAGTTACAACAGAAGTCATCTCATTCAAATACATAAGAAGTAAGTTAATAATATTATTTATTTGAGGATACACACAAACATGAGTAATGTATCAATTGGTTCCATAATTTGAGGATAAAATGAATTTAGACAGCTTCTTATTGTCATAAACCTCTTCACACGCTGTACTTCAATAATTCAAGGACTATTATTGTGTCTGAGAGAGTGATGATCATCGGTTCCTGTCAAAGTAAACACAGTGTTAACAGCAAAGCAGTCCAACTCCACAGATTCTGTTTTGGTGTTTAATCATGCCTCTGTGTTGCTTGAGTTATACACCGTGACGATGCTGTTCCTCATCATTTTTGTGTGACTTCATCTTGCCAGCCTCTGTTTGGTGAGAGTAGCTGCAGCAGCCTGTGGAGAGACGATATAAAACCATGGAGACGGGTTAATCACTTAGATGTAGCCTTCAGACAAATAACAGAGAAGTGAGCTGCATTCTGGGTGTTTTATTGTTTATCCTGGAATCCAGTCATTAAGAAATGTTTCTTTGTCTCAAACTCTCACACACACAATTGCAAATGCACACGCAGTAGCACCACTGTCATGTCTTATATGCATGGCCTTAGACAGGAGAGCAGCTATGTGAGACAGCCTGTCAGCAGCTTTGCTATGTCCCTTGCTTGTCTTACTTCACTGGATGGCCAACATGTGCCTCTGGTCTACCCTGCCCATCTGTATCCACAGCACTTTCCAGTCTGGCTGCAAGCAGAATACTGCTTTCATGTGACAGATTTTATACTCTTTGTCAGCACTCTGGAAGTTGCATGTCTTACTGCCATGAACTCCAAAACGGCTACTTTCATTTTGTGCATACAAACTGAGACCAACAGCATTCTTGAAAATTAATTACTTTCAATATTTTGCTAACTAGTCTATTCTGATTATTTTTTAGGATGTTTTGTATTGCTTAACTGTAAATGACATTATTGGAAGACTTTTCTCGTGACTTTTTCATTTGTGAATGCCTGATTTTGTTAACTTTTGTTCTTTTCCCCAATGAAACAACACTGTTTTCTGGTTTTACATCTTCCTCTAGATTACATCTCACAGTAAATCAATTGCAAAGAGGATGTGTCAACTTAGAAAAGAAAAGTTAAATCTTATTTCTATAAAAGCAATATATTTGAATTGTTGCTTGTATAGTTATTCACAAATATCAGCATTTTTTTTTACTGAGAAAAATAAAAAATAAAACAGCAGAATTGATATATGTCTCATTCCGATATTTATGTGAACATTATCATAATTTTTATACCAGAACGACTCTTAAAAGCCACAAAAGTCAAACATTTTTTCATTAATAGTTGTGTTTCTTGTGTCTGAAAATATTAAAAACACACTGATAAGCAAAGGTTTACAAAGGATCAAAAACCAAATATCCTTGTAGGATCATTTGATTGGATATCAGAACGTGTATGTGAGAAGTTAACATTATGTATGGCTTATATTTTATTATTATTGCTAATAGGTTTCTGAAACCACGATGCAGAAATTACAATAAGAAAATATGCATCTTATCCATTGCACCTTTCCAGGTGCATAAAAAATAAAAATAAAATTCAAGGTATAATTCAAGAGTTTTTTATTGAAAATCATTTCAGGTCATATGCAGAAGGCAATAAAAAAAATCACCAGAGGAGACATTAAATAGAGAAATGAGAAAAGCCTCACATTTATTTATTGTCTAGTCCTTCTTATCACTTGTCAGGTTTTCCAATCCATTTGTGTCTGCCTTCAGGCTTCTTGGTTTCTGTGTTTGATCTATTATTTTGGTATTTTGGAATATCCCCTAGTAGAATATTTCAACAATTGAGTACTGTTTTATCATTTATCTAACAGATTTGTACAATCAATCAATAAAGCACATAAATATGTAAAATATATGTTTTGAGTTTACATTATTCTTTAGCTGGGAAGCATTGAAGCTTATAACCTGTATGAGAGATAGTGATACTGAGATGTTTTATGATCTGTGTCAAGCGTTAATAAAAGTAATATATAAAACCATCACAGATAAGATTCTGACCTGTCTACCTCTGGTGACTTATAGTACTAGTGATGCACACTAACACACTACTAATCCGCACGTCTTACACGTGCTCCTGTCGGGCACATTCCTCTACAAAATTACCTCTACATGAAACCAATCTGTGTAATTTAATAACTTTGCACAGTCTACTAATTGTGCTGGGACTATGTGAAACACAAAATAATTTACGCCCCAAATGGCCACATTGTGAAATCCCTGCCAAATATTTGGGCCAGCAAGAAAACTGTTTTGTTTTAAGTGGAAACAGGAAGTCATTAACAAACTGATGCATTAGTATTGGGTCTGTAATGGCAGGCGGTGCCATACAGATACATTACCCTGAGCAAATGGATCGCACTGGTCAATAACATCTCCACCACGTGTCTTCTTGGCTAATGCTGGGGCCAGGGATGAAACTGTCAGGTAAATGAAGAGAAACAGGCACAGACTCTTATACTAACCGACCTCACCCTTGTGGTGGAAAGACCATTATCATTAAGCGTCTGAAAAATTGTAAAGGAGGCTTTGTGGTGCTGACCAAGCTAAACTAAATGTATTCACCTGCAGTTTCTCAGCTGCCAGGGGTCTCAGTTTTGGGTCTTGGCTAATGTTATGTTAATAAAAACAGAATAGTGGGCTGCTGGCCCCCTGAGAGCAGCCTTCACATGTCTCCTGTACTCCTACACACCATGGCAGTGCACCGTAATATCCCATACACCTGCCTGCATCAGCAGAAAGCGCACATGGTGATATGAACAGTAATGGTTTTGCTGCTTGGGTTATTGCACTTGGTCTGTTTAATGATACTATCAATGACGAATGAAAGCGGTGCGTGCTGGGAGGAATCACAAAATCTTGATCCTTGTACAGACACCGTGTACGTGCATGCAGACATAACAAACTCTGACAGCCTCCTCTGCCTTTCTTTTCCTCTCATTAACACACAAAAACACAGATGTTGCCTGATTTTCACAGTGTGTCCTTTCTTGTGAGAAAAAAATATTAGCCAGCTGCTCATTACCCAGCTGCAACGATAGTTTCCATCCGCTACAGTCATCTAAATATGCACACACATGCGCACAGACATGCAGATGCATTAACAAGAATCTATGCATTTGTGCCCTGAAGGTTACAAACCATGGAAAAGAGGCCAGGAAAGGTTTCCGACACTGTTAATTGTCTGATGTTAATCAATTACTAGACATGTGACTGAGCTGGAGGCCAACAGTGAACTGTCATTAAGCTCACCGAAACAGACAGGTACACTGGTAGACAGACAGAGGAAGGACAGTGATTATTGGCAAGCAGCGCCGTGCTGTCAATTTGGCAAGTGTAGCAGTGGAATGTGCATGTTAAAAACTCTTTGTCAGACTATTCTCGTCTGGGCTCAGCTAACCTTAACACTCTAAATATCCAACATCTGTTTGGGTCAGTCAGCCAATACAAGAATGGCTCATCATCAGCTGGCTGCTGGTGTTTGTGTTCCAGCTGACCACTGGAGGGAGATGAGGATTTGTGTGCAACCAAGCAAGTTTATCTCCACTTCAGTGAATCACTTACTTTTCTGTTAGATCTCAGGTTGCCTTGAGCTGACCAAGATTTTGGTTACACAACATTATGTACCAAAGACCTGTTTGTTTAAACTGGTCTGTGTTTCTGTGTAAGCTTTTTATGACTGCAGTGTATCAAGTGAAATGATTTGATGAGCTCTATATGTGGGGCCGCTGTGGTATAAATGTGGTGCAGCTGATGGAACCAGAAAGTCACAGTTTCAACTCCCCGCCATGCCCATATGTCATGGTGTCCTTGAGCAAGACACCCAATCCCTAATTGCTCCCTGGGTGCTTTTATAGCTGCCCACTGTATCTTACATGTGATGGGTTAAATGCAGAGAACTAATTTTGTCATTGTATAGAAACATACAATGATGACAATACATAGCACTTTCTTTCTTTCTTCATATACAGTATTATGCTATAGAACTTTTATTTTAAGCATGGACTGTACAGCAAACCAATCCTTAAGTAAAATGATGCACGTCTTTACTTAATTTGGTTTGAAAATGAAGTATTTTTACACAGTTGTGTTTCATCCTACCATACCCATCATAACTACTACAACATAACTCCATAACTACTGTACCTACCACTGCACCCTGTATTCACTGGTTAACTGGTCATCCTAATCTTCATGCAGACTCTCCCACTGGTACATTTTCATCTTTACATCACTTCGTGGTCTGCTGCCTTCATACATCTCCTCCTACATGTCACTGTGTGAGTGCAGCTACAGCGTGCACTCTCAGGACATTATTACCTGCAGTGTTCCCTCAGTGCGGACTGAACTAGGCAAAAGGGCCCTCTCCTACTCTGCTCTTGTTTCCTGGAATATCTTGCAAAAAAGATCTGAAGCTCTTGACCTTGACCTCTCCAAGTGGCTTTAAATGTCCGTTAAGTTTTGGGAAAAAAAAACATGCAGACATGTTCCTGATTTTAGTTTTCTACATCACCTTATAATCTAGCTGTTTTTAACTACTTTTCCTCTTAATCATCCTTTTAATTAACATTTTATTTTCACTTATTTAAAAAAAAAAACAATTAGTACGTATCCTTTATGATTGTTTATTGTTGTCGTTGTTGTCCATTGTTGTCATCACTCTTTGTATAAATTCAGGTCTCTCTTGTAAATGAGTCCCCAAGGCTCAATGGTACTAACCTATATAAATAAAGGTTGAATGAATCCTCATTGCTTTAGCATGCATGTCACTGTATCTACACTTGTGTTTTCATTTCTTGTTTTTTTTTCCAGGGGATTACGTGGTGCTGACAGTCTTTTTTGACCTGAGCAGGAGGATGGGCTACTTCACCATCCAGACCTACATTCCTTGCACATTGATCGTGGTCCTCTCTTGGGTCTCCTTCTGGATCAACAAGGACGCAGTGCCCGCAAGGACTTCATTAGGTATTTGAGAATTATGTTCTATGAAGAAGTTTGAAATGTCCATAGGCATAAATAATCTTTAAGTTGGTTTATAACTGCTTTCATTATTATTATTATTATTGTTATTGTTGTTATTATTATTATTATTATTATTATTATTATTATTATTATTATTATTATTTTCATGTACAATTTTAATAAATTAGTTCTGGCAGAGTAATACTGTGGTTATTTTTTGTGTTTAGTCTGTCCAACCCCAACACAAAACTGTAATTTTGACATTCACCAAGGCAACTCTGGCCCTAATTATTCCTCTCAATATAAAATGTCAAGAATCTTGACATGCTTGAACACTACCTAAAAATGTAAGGCAGCCTGCTCAAGCTTCCTCATTTCTGCTGCGTTCTTCTTTTTGTTTATTTTTCAGCCTCTTTTCTCTTCCTCCCTTGGCCCTCTGAGACAGGGCAGCTGCTTAGGAATCTTGTGCTTCTTGAGTGGATGAGCCCATCCTGGCACCTTTTTTTGTTTGCACAAATGCCATAATGAGGCATTAATTATGCAACACAACAAGGAAGATGTTGGGATGCTACTTCAGCACAATAATAATGCTGATGGCCTCTTCACAGAATGCAAAAAAGGGGACACAGGGTGGAAAAAAGAGGGCAAAACAGAATAAAAAAAAAATCAGCTTTTGAATTTGCCCTTGACATCCTTAGACAGTCCCTTGTGATTCTGTTACTTACACTTCCTTACTCAGCTCTTCTTTTGTTGCATTTTTTTTTCAAGAATTATCTAAAGTCAGTCATCCTGAGTTAATATGTGACAAATTAGGAAAATATTAGAATTCATGCAAGTTGAACATCCATACGTCTTTGCGTCCATTATTGTTTACTTAATAACGAACAGGGCTTAATTTGTAAATCAAACGATGGCGGAACGCAAAAAGTGGGTGGATTGGGGTGGGGGTGGGGTCTGTGGGTCCTCCCCCAGAGAATTTTGAATAAAATAGATGCCATTTCCTGCATTCTAGTGTATTTTACAAACATTTATTACAGTAGATTAACATGAAACAAAATATGTAAACTCAATTATTATTAAACTCTCTATGGTTGCAAAGCGTTCGTAATGCAACACCACTGCAGCCTGAGAGTTACCGGATCTAAGCAAACAGTCACCAGAACTAACCCTGTCAAAATAAGGGGGTTCCCGGATCTTGTTCCGGCAAGATCTGGCTCAAATTAAGCACTGATAATGAATGTGTCCTCAAACGGTTATTTTTCTTTCTGCTTTTCCATCTTCAGTTGATAGATCCAGTTGTAGAGATAAACAAAACATAAATTAAGTCAAATCCCTTAATTTGACTTTTGACTGATGATGCAGGAGGTATATTCAGCCTCGTGGGTCGGAAACAGATTAAAGCAGATGACCCGATTTTTAATCTGTAATGCAATCCAAAAATCTCTAAATTTGCACTTCAGTGTTAATCTTGACACGGTTGAACGGTATTCACCTTACACTAAAATTATACTTAAATCATCTCCGGATCACAGAGCAGATTCCTTTTGCCCGGTTAGAGGGGAGGCTGACACTCTTTTCAGTTTGTTAATGTTTTGGGGGTTTAAACTGACGATAGGTAATCTGTTTTATTTGTGTACTTATGCAGGTACTAGTTATGTGCCAAAAGCTGTTTTTGTTCACATTATCTTAACAGACAAAATAAATTACCTTAATGTAACAATTACACAAGATAGAACATATACACTTGATTTTTATTACAAGAAAATATGAAAGTGTTTTTGTGTCGCTTCTATTTTAATACGGCATGTGCAACTGTAAACATATTAAGTCTTTTTTTAAATTTATTACTTTACAATATGTTTCTGGTACATTAACCCTGTAATATACAGTCACACATCCTACAATCATGTCAATGTGTCTATAATGATGCCAAGGCAAAGGGCAGCACTAAACACATTTTGTGTAAACATATATTAACTGCAACATTTTTCAGTCAGGTCATCTGGCCAGTTTCTTTTTTTGTGCTGAATATATTAACTCATTTGTATTTTTAATGCATTATTTTAATTCTCTAATATTTTACTATTTGTTTTAAAGTAAGTAACTGTGTGTCTATTTTTTTTTTTTTTTACAATTACCTCACATTGTGGGGAATTTAGGAACTTGAACAAAATGCAAGAAAAAATTAATATACTATAAAATTATTTCTAAGACGTGTACATCAAAGGTACATTGTCTTGAAAAAAAATGCACATTTCATATTGTTATAAAGCTATACAATAAATTATAACGTAACTTGAACTAAAGTATTTT